TTGTTCTTTTTTTTTTTTTTTTTTAACCAAGTTAGGACACAAAGGTTTGGCCTTCAGGTCTCCTCCGTGCAGTCGAGGACTCAAGCAGGCTACCCTAGAGGAGTCTGCGTGGCTAGTCACCTCAAGTAGAAGGAAAGACAAGGTGTATGCAAACTCCGTAGAACTGGACAGTGAGAAGGCCTCCCAAGTGTCTCAAGACTAAAAACACCTGAAAGATCTTAACGCCGTCCAAGTTGTTATGTATGTAAAGCTGCCAGTGGTTTCTGACCACACACAAAACTGGAAGGTCTCTTCACCAAACATCGGTAATGTGTGCGTGAGGCTCAATAGAGTTGATGCAAAACCAAGACATTCTCTTACTAAGGCGACATCTTCGATTTTGCTTAACTAGGACAACTGAAAAAACATCCTACTGACTCTGTGCAGCTGACAAATATCATCTTGTCTAAAATCCTAACACACTTAGAAACAGCCACTTTGGAAAATCTGGGCTTTAAACGGTAACATGGGACTTCAGGTAGTCCGGTAACCGGTAATCGCACGTTATCTGTTCCAATGAAGAATGCTGCCTCTTTACTGTCAGCTCCGGTTCCACTTACTGAACAAACAGAAAAAGGAAATCCTTTAAATTCGCAACACAAGGGCTAAAGAGCTGCCGCTTTCTGTATGGCAGCTTTCCTGTCTCATCAATCACAACAATGGACGCATCCTAGTGACTTCATCAAACCGAGAAAGGGCTGAGGAACAGTGTGGATTTTAGGGTTTGTAGGTTTTTCCTTGCAGCTGCAACTCTCTCCTTTTTACTCCATTATACGCCTCCACCCGAGCTGTCTCGCCCTAAAAATAAAACCACCCGTGGCTACCATCCACTTTCCTGCTAAGCCCCGACTCTGGTTCTCTGCCTCGCTCTTCGCCTGGGTGGGTGCGGGCTCGGCAGCAGCGGGCTTCTCCGGTGCCCAGTCGCCAGCCGGGTAGAGGAACCAAGCCCGAGAAGCAGCCCCGCTCTGCCGCAGCCGCCGCAGTCCCCGAGAGCCTAAGGAGCCCGCAGGAAAGACGCGGGTGAGGGAAGGCTGGGCCCGCAAACAGAGGTGGGAGAGGGGGAGACACTCACCCGCCCAGAAAACAAACCGACGGGGCGGGGAGGATGGGGGCCAGGAGCAAGGCTCGGCAGAAAGACCGCCTGGAGCTTCCAGAACGCTACGGCCGCTCGGGACGCCTCTGCCGGTGCTGCTCCCGACCGCCGGCTTCCTCCCCTCCTCTGTTTTGATTCGACTGACCACGTCACTCTTAGCCACGAGACCCGGATCTGCCGGCTCCCTTGGGCGGCGGCGCAACAGATTGCAACTGCTCGAGACCCCAGCGGCCCGCCTGCCGAGCATGCGCGCGCCCCGCGCCTGCCCAATGTGTTCGGAGAGGCGGGGCGGGCGCGAGGGCTTCGGGTGCGAGCGTCACGGTATCCGCCGGGGCGCGGAGCGCGGGGGTTGTAGTTCCGCTTAGGTTGGGTGGGGCCGAGCGCTGTAAAGTGGGGAGGGTGAGCCCCGCTGGCTGCCGAATGGCCTGTATAGCCTGTGTTTGTGGTGGACAGTGTCCTCTGCTGTGTGTCTCTCTTTGCCTAAGATGAGGGCTTTCCTAAATCGGTGTCTTGAGAATAGCTGGGGTAGAGCCCGCGGCGGGCTTAAGACGAAGTCGGCCGCGAAGGGGTACTCCTGTAGATAGTGTTTTCGATCACTTAGGCCCCTGTAAAAATTGGAGGTGGGGATTCAGTCTTATGTTCGGAAGTATGTCGAATGTGGCAGTTATAGAACCCCTTTACCCTAACATTTTTTCACCCGGAAGTCTGCCTAAAATTAAGCTCTAGGAGTATTAGAATATGTCACCAGAGATGACTTGCTGGTCGGGAGATAGTGGCGAAGGGGTGGGGAAAGGGTTATTAGGCTGCTCCCAAAGCGCTTGTTGCTTTGACCATGCAGCTGGAATAAAGACGCTATTTGTGGGGAATCTCAACTCTTTGAAGACCAAGTTGGTGCTTCCTATTTTCCCATTCTGGCCTTTTAGCCTCCCTGCTAAAGCCTTGGGGCCTGGGAAATATCCCAATTTGTCAAAATTTAAGGCTACTGTTTTCATTGGTCCATGAATTGACATACTTTCACTAATAACAGGACCACTGGCAAAATAAAAGTGTGAGTTCCAAACAAAGCTTTCACAAAGGTGACTCTTTGTTTACTTCCAGGAGAGGTGAAAGTCAACTGTAAGAGGCTCTTTCTTACTCTGACCTGGTAACGTTTTCACCTACCTAAATTTCTACCTTAGCTACTTAATTAATCACCTCAACTAGTTGAGTCACCTTCAGCAAATCAGTAATAATAATCTGCAAGAGCTTTTTTTATTTGAAGTATCATTGATATACAATCTTACGTTGGTTTCAAACAAACAACACAATGGTTCAACAGTTACCCATATTATTATCTCCACCCCCTCTTGTGGGGTCACTATCAATGCAGTAAGATGTTACAGAATCATTAACTGTATTATCCATGCTGTACTATCATCCCTGTGACCAGCTTATGTTGTGATTGTGAATTATTGTGCCCCTTTATCCCCTTCACTCTCCCTCGCCCACCCGCCCCAACCCCAACCCCTCATACTTGGTAACCACTAGTCCCTTCTTTGAGGAGTCCTGACTAAAGAGTCTTGACATAAGCTGCTCCATTTTATAAGTGACTTCATTTTGTGGAAGATGGGTCACATCAGGAAGAATTTGCAAGAGTTGCAAAGGTTTGGCCAACACAGTTGCCAGGGCTGGCTGGATGCTCCCGGCGAGTGGAAGGTGAATGGCTCGCCCACCCAGCAGTCGGGAGTGTTGCTCCACCTGGAGGGAACCAGTCCAGGTGGTTGGTGAGCGGGTTGGTTGTGGTGAGGGTAAGGTCATATCTGGGCCCAGTCTGCACACGGCCCGGTCTGCGCATGGCCAGCTCTGCGCACAGCCCGTTCTGCTCTGCGCACGGCCTGTTTTGTGCACGGCCCGCTCTGCACACAACCCCATTCCTATGTATAAAAGAAGAATGAACTTGTACTTTGGGGTCTCCACCTGTGAGTGTGAGACCCCAGCATGCTGGCTACCCAATAAACGCTCTTGCTTTTGCATCCACACGTCTCCCGGTTATTTGGAGATCGATTGCACTGACCCACCATTTGGGGGCTCATCCGGGATCATGTCCCCATAACCGGCGACCGTGCAGAGAGTGCAGGTATGTGTGAGTGTGACTGCAGTGTTTGGCTGCCTGTTGATGTGCCATGTGTCCTCGTATTTGTGCCGTTTATCAGTGGAAACCTGATCTGGCAGTCCGGGGACTAGGTGGACACAGTTTTTCCCCACATCTTGGTGAGCACGTATACGTCCCTCGCTCACTTCTGTTCTTTGGACTTTATTTTTCAGTCTGGTGGGAGAAGGGAGGTCGCTCCCTGACGGAGTCCTTTTACGGGAGAGGCTGTCCTCCCACACCTGGTTTCTGTTTCTTTTTGGAGAGTGTGACGGAGCCCTTTTAAGGGAGAGGCTGTCCCTCTTCGTCTGGTTTCTTTTTGGAAAAAGGCGCCCTTACATTGTGTTCTCTGTTTGTATACTCATATTTGTCTGTCTTGTCTTCTTGTTTCTCTTTGGCATAGGCCAGTCGCACTCTACTCCTTCTACTCCTCTATCTTCATATCTCGCTTGAGTGACTTTCAAACTCAGGCTAAAAATCTTGGTCTTGCTGTCAAAAAGGGTAAACTTACTATCTTTTGCAGGAACAAATGGCCTAAGTTCGGAGTAGGGTGGCCTGAGGAGGGCACGTTTGACCTCCCCACCATTTTCAGGGTCAAGGACCTTGTATCTGGACGTCCTGGGCACCCCAACCAGGTTCCTTACATCACCACTTGGCAGACTCTAGTGGAAAGTCGACCTAAATGGCTGGCTCCCCTTCTTCCACCTTTAAAGGTGACCCTCGTGGCCACTGCCTCCTCTAAAGCTCCAAGCTCCTTTAAGGCACCCCGCAAGTCGAATCCCAATCCCTCGGTTCCTTCAGCCCCACCTCTTTATCCTGTCCTCCTCCCTTCACACCCCTCTTCAGAAAATCCATCGTTTCCCCACCCACTGCCATGTGGACCCACTCCTCTCCCCAATCCTCCTGAACCTTTACCTATGGAAAAGGAACCTGACCCGGAGGACCCACCCATGAGTCCTCCTCATACTCGCTCTCGAGACCAACAAGCTCCTGAGAACACCCAGGCACCGTGGCCCTACCTTTGCAGGCGACAGACCCACTGGGCCCCAATGGCCAACAGTTCTTACTTCATTGGCCTTTCTCTACCAGTGACTTGTATAATTGGAAAATGCAGAACTCCCCCTTCTCTGAGAAACCCAGTAAACTTATAGACTTGTTGGATTCTGTCCTTTTCACCCACCAGCCCACTTGGGATGACTGCCATCAGCTTTTACAGGTTCTCTTCACTACTGGAGAGAGAGAGAGAGAGTCCTGACTGAAACCCGGAAATGAGTCCTAGGGGTTGATGGGAGACCAACCACGGATTTAGATATTATAAACATCAGATTCCCCTCAAGTAGGCCCGACTGGGACTTCAATATGGATGAAGGTAAGGAGAGGTTCACTGTCTACTGCCAGATTCTGATGCGGGGTCTCCGGGCGGCAGTGTACTGTCCCACCAATTTGTCTAAAGTAAGTCAGGTGAAACAGGAACCCACAGAATCTCCTGGAGCTTTCCTTGAGAGACTGCTGGAAGCCTACAGGACCTATACTCCCCAGGACCCAGAAGCTGCTGAAAACCGGTCTGCAGTAAGTTTGGCCTTTGTTAATCAATTGGCCCCAGACATTAGGCGGAAGTTAAAAAGATTAGAAGGTTTTGAGGGGAAAAGGCTAGCCAAACTTTTGGCAGTGGCTGAGAAAGTGTTCAATAAACGAGACACCCCAGAAAAGCGACAGACCCACGTGTTGGCTAAGATTTTGTTGGCTAATTCATTAGAAAGTCAGGCCCGGAACTGAGAATTAAAAAGGCTGACTGAGCAACGGGGCCCTCGAGATACCAAAGCCTCCCCCAAGGGCCAGAACCCGCTGCAGAAAGACCAGTGTGCCTACTGCAAAGAGAGAGGCTGCTGGAAAAATGAATGCCCCAAGAGAGAAGCCAGGGAACAACCCAAGGTCCTCCAGATAGAAGGCTTAGACAACTGAGGGGGATGGGGTTTGGCCCCCCTCCCCAAGCCTTGGGTAACCCTGAATGTGGAGGGGAAGCAAGTGACTTTTATGGTCGACATTGGAGCAGAACATTCAATCCGTAAGAACCCCTTGGGGCCCCTTTCTCCCCAAACAGTCCTGGGTACAGGGAGCCACAGGATCTAACCGATATTCATGGACTACCCGAAGATCCATAGACCTTCTCGTGGCCACTGCCTCCTCTAAAGCTCCAAGCTCCTTTAAGGCACCCCGCAAGTCGAATCCCAATCCCTCGGTTCCTTCAGCCCCACCTCTTTATCCTGTCCTCCTCCCTTCACACCCCTCTTCAGAAAATCCATCGTTTCCCCACCCACTGCCATGTGGACCCACTCCTCTCCCCAATCCTCCTGAACCTTTACCTATGGAAAAGGAACCTGACCCGGAGGACCCACCCATGAGTCCTCCTCATACTCGCTCTCGAGACCAACAAGCTCCTGAGAACACCCAGGCACCGTGGCCCTACCTTTGCAGGCGACAGACCCACTGGGCCCCAATGGCCAACAGTTCTTACTTCATTGGCCTTTCTCTACCAGTGACTTGTATAATTGGAAAATGCAGAACTCCCCCTTCTCTGAGAAACCCAGTAAACTTATAGACTTGTTGGATTCTGTCCTTTTCACCCACCAGCCCACTTGGGATGACTGCCATCAGCTTTTACAGGTTCTCTTCACTACTGGAGAGAGAGAGAGAGTCCTGACTGAAACCCGGAAATGAGTCCTAGGGGTTGATGGGAGACCAACCACGGATTTAGATATTATAAACATCAGATTCCCCTCAAGTAGGCCCGACTGGGACTTCAATATGGATGAAGGTAAGGAGAGGTTCACTGTCTACTGCCAGATTCTGATGCGGGGTCTCCGGGCGGCAGTGTACTGTCCCACCAATTTGTCTAAAGTAAGTCAGGTGAAACAGGAACCCACAGAATCTCCTGGAGCTTTCCTTGAGAGACTGCTGGAAGCCTACAGGACCTATACTCCCCAGGACCCAGAAGCTGCTGAAAACCGGTCTGCAGTAAGTTTGGCCTTTGTTAATCAATTGGCCCCAGACATTAGGCGGAAGTTAAAAAGATTAGAAGGTTTTGAGGGGAAAAGGCTAGCCAAACTTTTGGCAGT